CTCTCCCATCGCTCTTCTCCAAGTCGTCCTTAAATTTCACCGTAGACGGTCTGTTAAAAATTGAAAGACCACCGGTTAACCCATCCAAGGGACACACGGTACATTTCAGGCTGCTTCCATTGAGGAGAAATTTATCGGTGATCCTCTCTGATTCAGTGGCGTGAAAAGGGCGTGAATACGGTCGTCGGCGTGGCTTACGCGCTGAAGGGAAAACGGAAGGCGCCTCTGGGAACGCAACAAGTTCGCGATGCCTTTATCCTCGACCGGCTATCCTTTTGTGTCCCTGGAACTTGGCCAACGTTCCTGGCTCACCGCCGCTGTCCGTCAACTTCTCTATCTCTGTCTCTCCCTTTCTCTCACACTCTCTCCCTCTCTCCTCTTTCTTTTTACACTCTTCGTTTATCCTCTCCGGCTTCTTCCTCCTTTCGGTTCTTATCCGATCGAGAAGTGCAATCGATCATTTCTCGTTTGGCTCTGATCAGCTCTCTATAACCCGACGGTGACTACGATCGAAGGTTCAAACGCCCCGTTCTTCCTCTTGTAACGAGATTCGGATAGCCGAGGCTCTCTCGAACGTTCTTTTTTTTTTCGAACGGTGTGTAATTACCCGACTAGAAATTTCAGTTAGGCAGATATTAGGTTCGCATTAGGCTAGCCTGATTTGCCTGTTAGGCCCACATGCGGTATGTAACGCGGAATATTCACGACCGCCTAATTGAGAAAGCCGCGTTAGCGCCGCATTAGGATTTCTCAATGACTGTCCAATGAGGCCAACCGCATTAGGCCCATACTAGAATAGCTTTATTAGGCTGTCAATGGGAAACATTAATGAAATCTCACGAGGAATACCTCATCGATACACTGTATGGATTAAATTGTAAAAACTTTTATCTTGTTGAAAGCTCTCACGCAAGCGTACGTCCAATACTGAGATGTCTGTAAATATTCCTACATATAAGTTTGAGAGCCCCACTCCACCTAATTTAGGTGTGCGCTCGGCCACCCCATTTGGGCCACGTATAGCAACTGTTAAGAATGCCTAACTTAGGTGTGCGCTCGGCCACCCCATTTGGGCCACGTATAGCAACTGTTAGGAATGCCTAACTTAGGTGTGCGCTCGGCCACCCCATTTGGGCCACGTATAGCAACTATTAGGAATGCCTAACTTAGGCGTGCTACAGTTTCAGTACTACATTAAACGATAGAATCTGATGTATTATAGATCAGTTAAATTTAGCAATCTTCACTTCCACAAATAAAATCAAAAATTGCAATTAAAATTAATTTTTCTTACCTTTAGGCATGCATCGTTCCTTCCGAATTGGGACCTAATGCGGTAACGATTAGGCTTTCAGCATTTAGGTATGCCTAATCGTATCTGCATTAGGCCCACATTCGTCTTTAGGCATGCCTAACTGAAATTCTAGTCGGGTAGGTGTTCGTTTTGTGCCAGCAGGGTAATTTCGAACGGAAAATTGAATCGAAAGCGAAGTTCTAAGTAGCTCGGTGATTCTACGTTAAGTAAGGAATTGTTTAGAATTTTGGTAACGAGCTTTTGGGAAATTTGTACGATGTGAGTTTAGGAATTGAGGAATTTTAAAGTATAACGTTTGTAGTATTGAGAAATACGATTTTTTAGGAGAAGTGATTTGTTTATATATTTTTTCAATCATGAGAGAAAAATTACGGTGATAACCAATTTTACATTTTGATGGGGGAAGCAAGAATAAATTTGAGAAATAATTATTATACAAAACTTAGGATAAATGAAACGAGACTGGAAAATATAGATAAATGGATACGTAGAGGATTAACTATCGTGCAGTGATTATTCACAAAGATAAAAGCATCGTTTATTTATTATACCAAACCTAACTCACACATACAGATCGTTATCAACAAATAAATCTGTAAAATAGTATTTTACGTTATTTAAACACGAAATCTTTCAGAGCTTCAAAATTCGTCGACATTGTCAATATTAAATTCAGAACGAAATAATTATACAGAAGGTTAACCCCTTGACGTCTGATTTCTTTTCCTGACTATGCTACTTTTCCTACTACATTAAACGATAGAATCTGATGTATTATAGATCAGTTAAATTTAGCAATCTTCACTTCCACAAATAAAATCAAAAATTGCAATTAAAATTAATTTTTCTTACCGGTGTAACTCTTTTTATCATATCTTCGCCAAAATCTCTGGCTCGAGTCTATCTCGTTATTATACGACAAAGGGTTAAATTAGACGTTACAAAACTGAAAAAATGAAGTTGAATCAAAAGTAAAACTCAAGATGGAAACGTGAAACATCGCGATATCGATTTGTATCGTGCCTTTTAGGCAATCTCGTTTCATCCGCCTCGACATTCAACGTCTAACCACAGCAGCTACATTCTGTAATCATTGACCTATCTGAATGAACAGACTGCTGCGTTAGCCGAGGACAGGAGAGAGTAACTATCTATTATTCCGTTCGAGGGTTTCCACGATAATGCCTGAGAATTGGCTTTATCCAGAGAGAGAGAGAGAGAGAGAGACTTGGCCACGTTGCATCTTCGTTCTCCGGCTCTTGATTGCATTTCGATGTTCGACCTTAATGATTATCATATTAATTAACAACCGCGTTCGCAGACAAATGGCCTTTCGGAGAATCGAGCCAGTGAACGGTGGAAAATTGGGAAATTAGTCGGGAGACGTTCGACGGAGACGCTATTTCGATCGTGATAATTTATCGACCGATTACGGTCTATTCGAATCCTTTTCTAATTAACTCCTTCTGTCTGAAATTATTATTTCCCCGTGGAAAAATTCGCTTCTTTGATTTTAGTGTTTAAAATTATTTAATTAAAATATCAGGACAGCTTTTTTCTTGCTAAAATGGGAATAACAAGCAAATTGTATGTAACACCCTGTACTAATATATACAAAATTAACCCTTTAGCTCTCAAATTATTCTTTCCCCAGGAAAAAATTATTTTCTCCAATCTCACTGTAAAAACACATTCGTAAGAACCTTGTTACGACAGAAAATTGTGATTAAATAAACCTCTAGGACTGAGAATCTCAATTTTCAGCTGAAGTAACTTTTCAAAAATTTCCTCCATTCAGTGCAATCAATGAAACACCTAATTCGTTCACCCTACTCTCGATATTAAAAAAAAAAAAAAAACAATCATAGAAGCACCGAATAGTGTCCATTATTTATTTCACATGTAAATAAATCCTCCTAACATCCCTCCAAAATGAATTTACACGAGAGATTAATATTCCAACGAATTCTATCGGATGGAAAACGAGAAGAAACAGATGCTTCGGTGTCTTATCCCTCTCAGAAGTCAGCGAGCGTCCATTAGCCACGGTTTACAGACAACACACGCTAAATAACCGAGTAATCCTTTGTTCCGTGACTCGTGGTAGCCGTGTCTAGGGAAACCAGGCACGAACTTCCACCAGCCCAGTCAATATCGCCTGGCAGAGAGCTTTTGGAACGACCGGTACAACGAAGGAGGGGTTACAATGAGATTCGTGTTCCGCGGACCGCCGCGGTAGGCTTATTAAATATTGCACCGTTCGCGTCGAAGCAAACTTTTATCTCTCTCTCTCTCTTTCTCTCTGTGGTGATGGCGGTCGCGTGTTTGTTCGTATTACCTCACGTTAACGTTCCCCGTAACTTTGCAAAACGTCGGTGCATAACGTAGCTCCTCCGGTTTCTGCCATTATGGACCAACAGAACTTCATGGAACTTTCAATACTTTCTCTCTACCCTCCCGACGGATTCTTTCACTTCTCTCTAACTCTCTTTCTCTCTGTCTATCTTTATCTGGTTCTTGACACTCGAAGGGGAGGGTTTCTCCTAAGCAAACAAAGGTTCGCGGGTATTATTTCATTCCGCGGGATAAAAATTTCGTAAAAAGTTTTGATTAATGTTCGGTGAAAAATTTTTCAAGTAGTCCTTTGTTTCCATCGATCAACTGACCGCTTTCTCGTCTCGTTTCGAGTGCTTCTGAAAGGCTTTTGCCACGGTGGAAGTTTCGAGGATACGCTTTTCTCGTTTTTTTTTTTGGATTATTTCTAGGCAAATTTTCTTTAACTTTCTATGTTTCTCGGGGCGTTCCTGGGAATTTCTGTTGGAGTCGATTTTTAACACCAATTAAGAAATATTGGCGCACTGTCTACTTAACTTTTTTTCTCATCCGTGATTATCCACTGTAGGTCACTTCGGAAACTTAATCATCACACGATGACCCACAGTGGAGATAAAGCGGTGATCCACAATTGGGTCACTTTGTCTATTCAATTTTTCTCGTCGTTCATGATAATCCACTGTGGGTCACTGTGGAAAGTTAACACTAGAACTACCAGCCGAGTCAGAATGACACATTACCGACTTTATAAAAGTGAATTTTTACGTAAGTAAACCGTAATTGGAATATTCGATTCATATCAATACAAATAGAAGCATACCTTTAAAAAATAAATTCGGAAAGTTACAAATGATAGCACTTACCAGTATTGAACATTCACGTTTTCTCGAAACATGCTAATGGGTCATTTTGACCCAGTCGGTAGTTCTAGTGTTAATCATCACTCGACGACCCACCCTGAAAATAACGCAGTGATCCACAATTGGGTCACTTCGTGACCCACGGTCGGTCACATAGAACACTATCACCTCCACCCAATAACCCACAATAACTCCCACCGTCCATAAAATATTGCACTAAACACTACCTCCCTTCCAAATTTCTCTCCACTTTTACCTAAAACCAAGCTGTACCCTGGCCCAGTTACTAAAATCACCCTGTACAATACCACCCACTGTGCCCACCCCTCGATGGAACAAAATTTCACGAACGAGTATAATCTTCCCAAAGGTAACAGGATCGTTCCGTTGCTCATTACCGCAGGATTACCACTCTGCTCCCCTTCGCCCTGGCATTCAGTTTCCCATGCGCTTACCGTCGTCGTCTAACGTCCATTGTCTCTGATTTCCAGGCAAAATTTCGCGTGATGGTGGAGGAGAACGCAGCGACCGGCGCCCGGCTTGACGGCGAGCTGGAGCGAGCGAGGGGCGAGTGCGCCACGCTTCGCGGCGAATTAAGGGATGTTCGTGGCGCGTTGCCGGTTGTTTTGAACAATAACAACGGCGGCGGTGGTTCGGGGAGTAACAGCAGCGTCTCTGCTGGTAACAGCAACAACAACGCCACGAACAACGCGAGTCCTGGACAACAGGAGCCGGTTGAATTGCAGCAACAATCGCAGGAACGCTGGTAACAGCCCTGTGGACAAGAGGAGCTCCGCCAGCGATAAGTCGGCAAGTCCTATCGATAAGAGGACCAGTCCTGTAGACAGGAAAGAGAGAGCCAGTCCTATCGATCGACACGCCAGTCCAATAGGTTTGTGCACAGTTTAATCGAACTTTCCTTCTGTTGGAATTGTGTCTATGTGTGTGACAGAAGGTGGGTCACGTTTCGGGGGAATATTGCTTTTCTGTTTAATCGCTCTGAGGGAGAGATATTCACGTGCGAACGATGAAAGCTACAGCGCGTTCTTTCGTTCATCTTTAACACGTTCGCTATCTTTCGATTAATTTCGACCAATTCTCACGATTGAACGGTATTTCTGTGTGCGATACATCGTAGAAAATGCACAGTTTGAGTATTTGCTAAATATTGGGCGTGTATCAATTTGGACGTCTATCGTATTATGCGAAATTGATAAAAATATAGATGTTAAGGATGTGAACGAGAATAATTCAAAGGATAGGGGGCTACTGTGCTTCAACAGAACCGTGATAGCGAACGTGTTAAGGTCTTTAGGATGAAAATGATCCAGAGTCTTTGGGTCAAAAATGACCCGAAGACCGTACTAACGTTAACAAAGTAAGTTTAGCGAAATTCTGTGGTAGAGTTGAACAGTAGAAGTTATTTTATCTTGCAAGTAATCTTGCTTATAACATTTCCTGTCGTTTGGTCAATCTGGGAGTGGAATATTGTTGCATATACTTAGAATTTTGCTTCGTTTAATTGAGGTCGAGGAACTTTGTTAACCTAACCTAACCAGAGGCTATTAGGGTGGTCTGAACTCCACTCTGTCTTCCATGGTATACACCACTTCGCTATTTTTATAACCAATTTGTTAAATTCCCCCTTGCTTTTATCGTCAAGAAAGAAAAAAACAGTGTTTCTCGTAAAAAAGAAAATTTGCTCGGTAAAATTCGTAGTTTTAAGAAACTTCTCTGCGAAAAGCATATGCATAGTAGTTCCATTTGTGGATTCAATGTGACATGAAAGTATTCATACGAGATATTGAAGTTGGTACTTACTTTCCTCCGTAAAATGTTTTCCCTCTTTTATTACCCCGCCGTGGACACGTGTAATTCTTCGTTTGAAAGTTTGTACACTGTGTGTAATTGAAAAGTAGAGCTCGTGCATAGTTCATGGTTAAAAAGTTCATCCCGATTTCCGGAACATGTTGTACTTTATATCTTGCAGTTACTTGACGTCACTTTTACGACTGCCCGTGACTCACCATTTTCTCTTCCAACTTGTAACACACTGCGGAGCCTACGCGACCATATCCATGTACCATTTGTCACGGTGTCTGTAACCAGCGGAAGATTAACCTTCCTCGATGTTCCCGTAATTCCATCTTGTACGATCTTCGATACTTGGGTTTCTTGCGGGACGTTTATTTCACGATTATTTCGTTCGCGGGTTACGAATGACACTGGTTACGGTCGTTTCTATCGGATAGATAAAAAACAAAGTGTGGAGAATTAGTTCTTGAAGATTCCAATTTTTAGGAGATCTCTTTGATCGGTTTTTTTAACGAACTATGCGAGTAAGAGGTCAAAGTGTGAGAAATTTTAGTGTACCACCACTGTGTTTCCATAATTAAATTATTCCAAAGTCTCTCTTTCTTTCAACTTCAGAAATTCAAAATTAATCGCCGCGGACTATATTTATGACATACAAATCACGAAAACGCGATCTTTTCCCATAATTAGATATTCCAAGGCCACTTTTCGACTCTCTTCCGTTCATCTTGGAAAATTCAAAATTAAGCGCCACGCGTTATATTTCTAATTCTTGCAAATTCCAATTCCTAGGAGATCCCTTCGATCATTTTTTCCAACAAACTCCGGGAGCAAAGAGTCGAAGTGTGAAAAATTCTACTGTGCTACCACTCGGTTCCCATAATTAAATATTCCAAATTAATCGCCACGCGTTGAATCCTTATCACGCGATAACAGAAAAATCACACATAGTTTCTCCATAGTCCACCGTGTTGGTTTTCCTCGTTGTTCCAGAGAAGAGAAATGGCTCACCGAGTCGCAGTCCGAGCGAGAAGGCGCGCAGACCTTGCGCTCCGGCGTTGGAGAAAACGCGTCTGGGTGGTTCCGGTGGCAGCGTGGACTCTCGATCAGGAAGCGCAAGTCCCGATCGAGGATCTACAAATAGAACGAGCAGCATCTTCCATCGCGGTGGTAGCGATCGGTCGAGCGTGGAACGGCTACGTATAACCACGACTAATCGTGATTCCTTGCGATCCAGCAAGGAGATGAACGACCACGAGAAGGACATCGACAAGGATCTAGTGGACGGTGAGGTGCGGGTTGACGAGGACAATGAACCACCTGGACCAGCCCCGGGCAGCAGACCCTCGTCGCCAGCTAATTCCCTGGGTGGGTAACCCGGCATTTAATTATGGAAGCCCGTCCCTTTCAACTTCACCCCCGTACATTCACTGTTCGTGATTGTTCCACGAACGAGCGACCACCACGCAGAAGCGTACCGACGATTCCTCTGGAATTAAACGGAGCTGAACTTGAGATAAATGCTCCCCGAGTTTTCTTCAATGCCCGGAAACGGGCAACGAGGAAGGGAGAGCTTTTCAGTGACTACGCGAAAGCACGTCGTTGGATTCGGTGCATTATTGAGGATGATACGTCGTACCTCGGTTGATTGAAGATTCTGTAACGTAGCCAGCTGCTTGATGAGTTCTTTCTCTCCTTTTCTTCTTCTTGCGATTTCTCAGGTGTTTTAACCCTTTCGCTGCGGCCGTCTGTTCTCTTCTTCTTGGAACACCAGCAGTGTCTTTCAAACTTTCGGGAATTTGTTGCCACTCAATTTTTTATTTTTTGAAAATTATTTTGGATAATAAATAAATTCGTTGTTTCAACCCTTTCGCTACGGCCGTCTCTCCCCTCGAAACGCTAGCAGTATTCTCTAAACTTGCAGAAATTTTCCGTCCCTCAATTTTTATTTCTTAAAAATTACATCGGTTGAAAGTTACTTTGAACGACAAATAAATTCGTTGTTTCGTTCCCCGCAAGGCGTGTCTTTCGCGCAAAACACTGTCCCGCCGTTTGAATAGGTAACTCAAAGTAGGATCTTTCCAAGTCCCTTTCAAGCCTTCAAACTTCACCCGATAAACCGTAGGTCGTTCGAGTTTCCCCGAGCAATCTATTGACATGTGGTGCAGGAATCGGTGATCCATTGGTAGCGTCGAGGCTATCAAACATTCATGGAGGCGGAGGATGTAGCGGATCGGTGGAGCTTGCCAGCACCAGGCGACTTCGATTGGAGAATGAACGTCTGGTAGCGGAAGTGGCAAGATTGAGAAGATTGTTATTCACCGGAGCGGCACGTGGCGAAGTCGGCTCGGAGGACGCGGTACTCGAAGAGGAGGCACGATTTGTTGCCCTCGAAGTGGAACTGCAACACGCCAAGGATGCTCTACAGGCACTTAAGGCCGATCGCAAAAGACTCAAGGCCGAAAAGTTCGATCTTCTTAATCAAATGAAAGCACTTTACGGCACCCTCGAGGACAAGGAGCGGGAATTACGGGACTTTATCAGGAACTACGAACAGGTAATTTTCTTCTTCTTCCTCTCGCTCTGTTGCATGCATATGAGAAAGTAGCCTTTTTTACGTGAATGAATGATGATAAAGTAGATATTTTAAGAGTTCCCTTTTTGTTCTTGTATCGTAGTCGACTTTCTTATGAAATTGTCTGGTATTGTTCGTGCACCTTTATTGTACAATTTTAATATAGACGAGTCTTGACCCTTTCATTTCCAAATTATTTAACAGCTACATGAAAGTTTTTAAATAATGCGTAAAGAAAGTTTGACATTTGGGAACCATAGTTATATGACAATTTTTATTCGGCTTTATTGTACAATTTTAACTTGACACAGGTGAGTCAGGTACTCAACCCTTTCGTTCCCAAATTATTTAACAAGTTCGTGAAATTTTTTAAATAATTGGTAAAAATATTTGTCACTTGGGAAACGTAGATATTTTTACTTTTTATTCAGAATAATCTTCCAAATGGTATAATAACTGATTATGAAACGTTTCGTTTATCCAAGAACTTTCACACTCGACATTTCACAACTTCTCCAACTTGATACTACAGGAACGTTAGAAAAATACAGAAATATTAATTCATTCGTTACCTTTATTACAATCTGTATCCAACTCGTTCGTTGTACCCGACCAAATCAACGTCGCCTCGTTAATTACTCGTCCAACGAGGCTAAGGATGTAATTGAACATAATTTCGCGCCGGAGAGATAACTCCTGGAAACTGTTTAACGCGGCGTTTATCAGTCGAAGGGAAAAATAACTCCACCGCGTGAAAAAAAAAGGAGAGGAGCAGAGAGAGAGAGAGAGAGAGGAAAAAAGAAATTTTTCTATTTAACGAATACCCAGGGTGAAATTCATTTGAATTTTCTCGCGGCGCACGTCAGCATTTCGATTTGCAGGCAGGCAGCGGGAGCACGGTCGCACGGTTACGCGAGGCAGCAATTTTGCCTGTTAAATACTTTCATTAAACTCGCTGGAATTTCTCATTTTCCTGGACACCGTTATCGCTTGGAACGGCGTCGCGACGCTTCTCGCGTCGCGTCGGTCCGACGACCCGACGACGTACAATCCGCCGCGCCGCGCCCGCTCATTCCAATTCCGGCGAATGAACAACGACGCGCGTCGATTTCCTCTTCGTAAATAAACGCGGCTCGGCTGGAACGGAGCCACGCGTTTCCGGTCCTCCGCGTTTTATCGATGCTTTAAGATCGTAAAAAAAGGAAGATTCGAGGTCCACGGGAATTTCGACGCGAGTTATTTTCTGCGGTGTGCGTTTTTCCCTCTACAACGTTCCGGAGATCCACGTGGGGTTCGCTTGAAATAAATTGTTATTTACTGACTTCAACGAAGAGTGTTTCTTTTTTCTTTTTGTCAAATGTGATGTATTAGGAAAGTGCTTTTCTGTGGAAAATATTATTGAGAATTGAAAAATTTAGGATAATTAGTATTGACTCAGTTTGTACACCTAGAATGAGACGAATTTGGGAATTGTTAAAGGAAATACTCTTGAGGTCATGGTGAATTTTTGTAGCATATTAGAAAAGTGCTATGAAAAATCCTTTCTGTGAAAAAAGATTGTGGAAAATTGAAAAGTTTATGATAGTAATTATTGACTCAGTTTGTATATCTGGAATGAGACGAATTTGGGAATGATTTATCGAAATGATCTTGAGATCTTAGTATATTACAAAGAATGAGTGTAAAAAATATTTCGTGTTCAAAAAGATCTGAATTTTTCAGGCAATTTTCTGTTTTTTATGTCTTACCAAAATTTATGATCATAATTAGTGACTCACTCTATATATCTAGAATTTTCGTATAATATAGAATATTCGCTGCAATCAAAAATTTCCCAGAGTTTTCCAAACAGTTCTTTCAACAGCACTTGCACCGTAGTACTTATTTCAGCAATCATACTTGAAAAATTTGCAGGTCGTTGCAAATTCCCCAGCATTTAGATTGAACTATATTGTCCACTTGTCCTTCTTCCCGAGTACCATTCACAGTCACGGAAACTTTCATCAGTTTATTCCCCTCTGAAAATCCTCCCACACATGAGCATTCATCTATCCACAAAACGTAAAAATAAATATAAAAATAAATACGTAATAAACGAAAGAAGATAACTTACAAATCTCTCTCTCTCTCTCTCTCTCTCTCTGAAAGCAGGAAATTTAAAAAGTTGAGGAAACTTCGGAACGCTTGTATACTACATCGCGCGAACTTACAGAGAATGAGCGATGAGGAACCAGAGAAGAAAATCACAAAAGGCCGCTTAAATTATTTGCCCGGGAAAGTTGAAAGCCTCGAATTTTTTCTCTCTCTCTGTCGTTTTTTCTTTTTTCTCTCTTCTACTTCTCTTCCCTTTTGGATTAAGCTGTTATGTACAGAAAAAAGCTAGGAGAAAGAAGATTAATAATGGCACGTTCCGCGAGCACGACCTTTAATGTTTCTTGCAAAAGCTTCGAGAGACGAAACGCATCAATGCGCTCGAGCGAAAAACGCGGCGTTTACTTAGACAGAGAAAGAGAGAGAGAAAGAGAGAAAAAGGAGGGTGAAAGGATTTTCATAAGGACACGACGATGCATCATGCAGGATCCGCCGGAAAGGAGAAAGGCAAACTTTAATATCCAGTAACAGCACGTTCTATATTAACGATCGTAAATATACCCCTTAGCTGAGGAGAACATGGCGCCGTTTCCGGGACGAGCGACGGAAACCAACAAAATACGGTGAATTTGTAAAAATTTCGTGCAGAAATCGGTTCAACGAATTAGCTAAGTTTTTACTCCTTTTTTTTTCAATGGCAAGAATCCAACTTTTAGCGAAATGAATTAACCCCTTAATGCTTGTGACCGGGTTTCATGCGTGTATAAAGAATAATCATTCGGCAGGGGCAATTTCTTTTTTATTATTTTCTTTCACTTTCTTTCACGTATTGCGTTATTCTTTCTATTGTGGCAAGAGTGTAAGGCACGGTATTGTAAATTATGGGAAAGTTATTTCTATACGCCTAGGAATTAATTAAAAAAAATCAAATTAATCAATTGTGGCACTTCAAGTTGAAAAAAATGTGTGTATTAACCCCTTAACCTATGACAACTCGTCAGACTCGTGACAGAGATTCTAGTCAAGATGTGACAAAAATGGTTATATTAGTAAAAAAAAGGTCATTACAATCCGAATTTTCGATTTAATTTATAACACTGGGGATTGCTAAATGTATAATAAATTTTTGTTACCTGATACAGTACTGAAACACTAAACGCGTGACGCTTAGATGCATAGTCAGAAAAGAAATCGTAGATTAAGGGGTTAAAAATGACGTCAGTGTATCAATTAAATTAGAACTATTATACAGCGTGTCCCACCTAACTCCCTTACCCAGCACCCTTAATTATTTCCTTATTCATAAAGATAACAAAAAATTCTTCGGAAGAAAGTTACTGTATTTCAGTTTGAAAATTAGGGTATGCAAGTGCTGATCATATTTTCCAAGATTTTACTGTAATATAGTACCTGAAACGATATAAATATTCTTGAAAAAATATGGATTCGATCGAACAAGGAAATATTGACGACACACTGTACCATTCACACCTTCTCTAACGTTACTTTCAAACATATCGAGAGATGTTGACGTCGAAGAAACGGATTCACGCCACTTTGGTGAGAAAACAGCTGATACTTTAGTATTCCCCCGCGTGTCTAGGTTAAACATCATCGACAAAAGCCGGAAGATATTCCCCCTAATGTGCGTTCGTGCTTCTGCATAATGGAACATGAAAGAAAATGCTCGTTGGCCCCGAGTCTTAGGACAGAGATTCCCTACCGTTGGAACGGTTCTTCAATTTTCTCTTGTTTTATCCTCTTCCGCGTCTTGTCGCATCGCGCATAATCCACTTCATCAACGACGAGTGTCGACGTGACACCGTTCCTCGTCTCTCTCTATCTCTTCTTTTATCCGCCAGACTTAACGTCCGCTTGTTTCTTCCTTGTTTAAACAACGAACTCGAACCACGCAGGTTGATATCGCGCGCGGTGCGCGACGATGTTCGCCGTAGAAATTTGCATACCAAACGAGAAACGTATGGTTCTGGTGTTCTTCGTTGCGAGTAGGGCAAACAATCGTGATGACGCTTGTGATGACTTCTTGTTTGAAGGATCTGAGGTATTTTATAGTGGAAGGAAAAATTCAATTTTTTAAGCATTGTCAAATTTTTAATTCATTTTTTTTTTCATTTAGAATTATACACTGTGCATTGAAGCTTTTTATCCTCGCTATTTCAATTACAGGAAATTTTTACGTGTAGCTAGGGTTATCTTTAGTTGAGGGAGATCTTCCGGAAGGTCAGTTTTTCCTAAGTTCGTTTATTCCGTGAAAATTCGGAAGTTAAAAGTTTCCCATTCAGTGTCATCCGAGGTAAATTGAGCACAGAGTGAAAATTGTGTCAAAATTGGGAGAGTTAATTGAGAGAAATAATTGTCAGTGTCTATCGAAGTTTCTATCCGTGAAAATAGAATACAAATTTTAGCCAAAAAAAAAAAAAAAATGCGATATTTTTCGTATCTTCACGCGTGCACTCACACGATTATTCCGCGTGACAGCCGGTAAAGCGGTGTGACCAGCGATGCATCGATAGTTTTTAACTCGAAAATGCTGACCGTCGAACGGGTAACACCTGACCGAGCCGTTGGAGCGGCAGTAATCGCGTTGTCCCGAAGTTTAGCCGATAAACCAGCTGCAACACCTGTTATACGTACCGTGAACTTCCTTGCGCCTGGAGGAGAAAGATAAGTGGATTAAGTTCTCTCCGTAGCTGATATCCTAGTGGCTAATAGGCGAAGGTACATGACACCTGTAAATAAACGATTAGTCGCACCTGTATCGTGTTACGACATCGTCGATCCTGTAACAGCTTGGTGTTTGATGTGAAGAAGAAAGGGTGGGTAATCTGTGGGAAAAATCCAGGTCCAGACCGATCCGTTATTGAGTTGACGGGTACGTTGAAATTGAGTTAGAAGGTCTTGGTCAAGTCTTGAATCTTGAGTGTTTAAAGGTTCGATACGTTTCGAGAGTTTGTGGTAGGACGTGTGTGAATTTGACTGAGTATCGTTGATGCGAAATATTGAAAGTTCGACACTTTGAAGTTTATCGAGATTTTCAAGACTTATGGAAAGTTTGAAGACTCAATATTCAAGACTTATCAGGACTCAACATTCAAGAGTTATTAAGGCTGAAAATGTCAAATTTATCGAGGCTCGAAATTTAAGACTTATCGAGGCTGAAAATTTAAAAATTATCGAGGCTCGAAATTTAAGACTTATCGAGGCTGAAAATTTAAGACTTATCGAGGCTCAAAATTTAAGACTTATCAAGACTCAACATTCAGGATTTACCAAGACTCAACACTCAAGACTTATCAAGGCTCAAAATTCAAGAGTTATTAAGACTCAATATTCAAGACTTACCAAGACTCAACATTCGAAACTTATCAAGGCTCAACATTCTAAACTTATCAAGGCTCAAAATTCAAGAGTTATCAAGGCTCGATATTCAAGACTTATCAAGACTCAACACTCCAGACTTATCAAGACTCAACACTCGATATTCATCAAAACTCTCCCGAGTTCCAAGTATCGAACAAAGTTCCAACCGATTGAAATTCTCACGGTACAGAAAAACTTGGAATCGCTCTGAAATTGAGACTCAAACGCCGATCACTATTCCCGACACTTCCTCGAATTAATCACAAACACACCTTACAGTTACCGCACGAACAATTACCAACCTCTGCTGAAAGTTTTAATCATCGCGTCGTGTTCTGGTGCGTTGCAAAGGGGGACTCTTTGACACTTTGCACGTACATACGTATGTACGTGGCGCATGCATTGTTTAAACGGTGGTGGTCCCGGGTGGAATTACTGCCTGGATATGGGTCTCTTTGACCGTTGATTACAGCGGATGCGCGAGAACGAGGCGACCTTAGGACGGCTTCAGCAGCAAGGAGTTGGTATACCTTCAGAGGAGCGTGAACGTGAACGCGAAAGGGAACGTTGGAGCCTTCTAAGGGCGGCCAGGGACGAAGCAGATCGAAGTCTCAGCCTCGCGGCTAGTTTGGCCGACAAAGAGGCCGCCCTTTCGCACGCACACGCGACCATAAAAGAGGTGAGTCCCCCTTTTTCTTCTTTTTTCTTTCAGCTTTTCTTTCCTCCCTCTCTCTCTCTCTCCCTTTCTATTTTAACCAGTTGCTACGCGTTGTCCCCAGTATTCGGGGGACGTTGCATTATCATGCACGGTGGGGAGTCGAGTTGATGAATTTAATCACTTTAGCCGGGCGTAGCTGAAGTGTTTTGTAAAGAGAGTAGCACCGGTACCGGATAAAAAGCAAAACCTCCGTTCCACCGGAGTCAGCAGCAACATTTTTTTCGTGTTTACGCTACGGCTGTTGCTTAACTTTGCCCGGATTATTTGCTCGAACCAGTTGACTCAGCATTTTAGGATTACTCCTGGTCTAGTGTTTGATCTCTAAGGTTCCGGAAACTGGTAGACACGGTCTCTCGGTGGAGGAAATTTTTACGGAATTCGTTTACGATTTTTCTTACCTAGCTTTGTGAGACTGCTGGTAAGTTCCTGGCTGGAGTAATTGAATATTGGGAACTTGTAGAGTAAACGTTGCTGTTACAGCAAAGTAGAATAGAATAGAAAAGAAAAGCTAGAGAAATTTAGTATTCCTTTCCTACTGTCAGAACACGAATTGACGATTTTACCATCAAAAATTGAACTATTTCACTGCTCGAATCACAGTTATCATCGCGGCGGAAACTTTTCGGTGTAATCTGTGTTCTTATACACGAAGAATTCCACCCTTTCTCGGTTCACTTCGTCGGACTTTATTATCGCAAGAAAAACACACAGAGAGGAGAAAAAATTGTAGGGTCAGCCAGACAGGCAGGCTGACACGAAATATCGGCGATCGATGTAATATTATTAGGAGGAGGTTAAGTAAGAAGAATCTCTTTTGCGAGCACATGCAATTACGCAGAGGGTGACTCTGCTTTGAGCCCTGAAATTGTCCTCCACGCTGTGCATAAACGGAGCTCCGGCTAACGAGTTTAAAACTGATGGCTCGAGGGCTGCCCACGGTACTTGGTCGTAGAGTCACGCACGTACACCCGAAATTTCCGTTTCCAGTTTCGCTTTAACCGAGAGTCGTGTCGTCTCTTGGAATCGATACGACTCCGTATGAGCGGAATCTGTAGGTTGTGTCGAACTGTCGCGGAATGATTGGCGGAATCATTTGCACGGAAGTTTGCCGATAATTCGTTGCACTTTCAACTCACTGGCTCTTCTATCTCTTCTATCTACCTCTCTGTGCGGCTGTGTATCGTGATTCGGAGAAAATTCGGTTAACCCAGTGTGTATCAGTTTATGTATCAATCGTTGTTAATACCTACTAATCGCGTGTTTAATTGGGAGAATAATTGATACGTTGTCGGTATTTCCGGTGATGTGTTTAATTGGGGCAGTGACTGTTGAGAAGTAGCGACGATTCGCGGGGAAAGTAATACAGCGGTCGTTGTTAATCGCTGTTTCCTGTGCACCTCGTTGGGAGTATTCTAGTCTAGAGTGTCATTTTTTAGTCCTTCTTAGGGATTTTTTTGTAAGGACAGTATAAGTTTCTCAGTATCGGCATTTTGCATACGTATTTATTCATGTTTTAAGAAAGTTCACAATTTTTCTCAAGTGAAAATAATCAAAACTGTCGGAATTACATATCATTCAGTGCGGTCCCTTTAAAAAAAAGTGTCCTACCTGGCTGACACGATTCCGCCCATTCTGTTTATCCGAAATGAAAAAACCAAAAGGATTTTTTTTTAGTACGAATGTGATTATGGTGTGAACCAGAATGAAAAAGAAATAGTGAAAATTTACAAAATGGCGGCACTTTGAATTTTGTGTATCGATTTTGTCGACTTTTTTTCGTCTTTCAGAGGCTCTAAAAATCAGAAAAATATATATTTTCGCATAATTCTCGTTCAGGCGATAACGGCACATCCACTGAAGGTGCATGTAAAATTTGGAGTCAATCGGACAACTAGAACTTGAGATATCGTGTCAGCCATTTAGAAAAACATGGTTTCGAGAAAAGCGCGTTTAAAGTTTCTCATACCAGCTACACGAGAATGGTACACTTATGACTACGGCCTACATGTCTTCTTTAACTATCTATAACTTCGTCAATTTTACTTCTGCAAACGTCTACTTTCAGAAAATGTAAAAAAAATAAATCGAGTTTTTTGAAAAGTCTAGACTAGAATACCTCCTTGAGAAATTAGCGGTAGTTGCAGTCGTTAGGATGCTGATTAACGAACTGTCGGTATTTAGAGTAGTCGGGGATTTTGAGTAACAAAGGACTGTTCTGGAGTGAAAATTCTTTAGTCTTTTTTATTTTTCTGACTACTACTGATATAAAAAAATACGTGTCGAATATTTTTTTTGGAACTGCTGTATACCACATTTTCATCGAAATCGGTGATTATTACTTGGAGATATTCCCTTGTAAGCTTTTTCTGGTTAATCCACAACGAACTTAATTTCTCGACGAAATCGTGGCGAACACCTTCGGAAGAAACCCTATTGGTAATTTACTGTAATGCAAATTAAAACATAATTGGTAAATATGTAGTATCGGGGCCTCCGTACCCAAAAATAGGAAACCAACAGGGGAGGAATAGAGAGGGGGTGGTTGGCGTAGCGAGCAAAGCCTCGGCTTGCTAAGCCGGAGGTCCCGGGTTCGATTCCCGTTGGGTCCCTCAGTATTTTTTCGTCGTTTGTTCCTACAAATATACATTTATTTAGATAATGCCACAAATCTATGTTAAAAATGACTCAAAAATTGCCTATTTTTCCTGCACATTTCGCGTGCACGAACATCTACAATCCACCGAAATCGCTCGTAAATTATAAATTCCCCTAAAAAAAAAGAAGTAAAAACCCCTCAGGGAGAGAAGTTTGTGCGCCAGCACAATTCCTCGCGGTTCTCGTTGAAATGCCACGGATACAAAAGAGAGAGGCGGGCGTTTCGTACAGTTGCAGCGTCAATTGGCTGAAAGGGGTGGCAGCGGTGGTATCTGCTTGAGCGACCAGGAATCCTTGGTCTCGTTCCCGAGAGGCAGCGTGAATGGAGCGGCGACACCGGGCGCCGGAAGTAGCAGTGGCGGCGGTGGATGCGGCGTGATCCCTCATATGAATTCTCAACCGCCATTAGGGAGCACGGAGCTAGGAGTGACTGTTGGGAACGTCGGCAATGCGGCAGGTGCAGGCTCTTCCGGTGGACAGGCGGGTGATCGCGGAAGTTGCAGCGCGGATAGCGGGGTTCGTGGTTCCAGCGACAGAGAAAGCGGCGGAGCGACCAGCGTGGGTGGGAACCTCTCGGATTCTACCACTGACGGTAAGATATTCATATTTCAAATTGCCGTTCCCGCTGCTTGGCTAAGTGCCTCGGTGTCGCTGAAAGTCGACAGGGAAACGGAATTAATATCGAGACCATCTTTTCTCTCGCTTCGAACGACGTGTGTACAGTGGGAGAAAAATCAGAAATTATGGTTTTTATACGGTGGAGAAGGATACAAACTCTGGGATAATTTGATCTTAATCTTTACGTTGAAATGATGAACTATGAGTAAGTGGGAGAAATATAAAAAGTTATTTTTTATTTTTGCGGGAAAGTATGTAAATTCTGTGATTATCCCTTTGATTACTATGGGCGTCTATAGACTCTCGGCCATGATTAAACGCTGAATACTCTCAGCGCTCTTTATATTCACTTTCCATATTTTATATTTATTTATTATTCATTTTGCGAATATAAAATGCAAAATATTGAACGACAAAGTGATTTGGCTAACTTAATACGTAGTATGATTATTAATGCTATAAGGTTAATACGGTGATCAACGACGCAAATGCTAGAATAATTTATTTCAGAGCGAAAATCTTAACCCTTTGGCTACGACGCTCGATTAATATTCGAAGCTTGCGTAGAAATAAAGATACGTAGAATTGCAAATCGACTGTCTAATAGTAGTCAAATGTCTGATGCATTCTGCATGCGATATTTCACTTCTGAAGCGTGAAAATCGATTAAAACGTTCTCCGTATTAGACGGGCGCATGTGTACGCTCTTCGTAGCGGAAAGGTTACGAGCCAGTTTCGCTGTGTTTTCCTTTCCACCAAAATGAGCAAACACGTTTCTCCTTTATACCAAAAATGTTCACTCGTCGTTGCTCTAATTTCAACTCGTCAATTGTCCAACGAACACCGTAAAGTTAGATTCACGAGAAACTTCTTTCAAAATTTTCCTCTAATTAATCTATAATTTATTTCTAATTACCTTCCGAGCGTGTGTGTACAGTAATTTCGTAGATCCGACGAATGTCGAAATTTCCGACGCGCCTTCACCCGAGAAAATCGTCTTTACACGCTGGAGACAATGCAGGGATGCGTCCAATTTACCTACGTGTATAACCGGTTGAAATTACCCTCGATGATTTTTGCATTATTCATCGGGATCGTATATGGAAAAAAAATAGAGAAGAAATCTCTCCATTGTAATCCACCCGCGGGAAATGAAGTCGCTTTCGAGTCGCGAAGCTATCCCGCGCATAATACAATCGCCATTATTATTCATCAGAGCGTCGGAGTGGCTTGGTACGCGATGATTCTTACGCTTAGGTGCAACGGGCGGCAAGATTAATCGCCTGGTTAAAGTGCATTACGTCGCATCCGTCGTCGACGAGGCTAAAAGAGAGAGAAAAAAGAAAAGAGTAAAATCGACGCGATAAGTTCCATCAGACACGTGGATGTTACGTAGGTGGTTACGCTAATCGAGCCCCGTTTCCTTCGTATATAATGTGTATATATATATCGTTCGACCAATCATCGTGGACGTGCATTAAAACTGATTGATCGATTCGGCTTAAAGTGAACACACGTACGTGCTGCGATCTCTATGCATGTGCACGATTTCTAGACTAGGTGTTGCATAAATTATACTCTCGTAGCGTTTCAGATTAAGTGAGAGGATTTCAGGAGGTGTTGCTACGTATATCGTCTCTAAATTGAGCACCAAATATTCTCTCGTAATGCAATTAACGAATAATTATCGCAGAATATTATAATTGTTGAAGAATTTTTTTTTTTTTAGAGCTAGCTAATAGAAAGAAGCATTCCCTTTAATTTTTATGGTATAATTTTGAAGAATTTCGAAGAATTTTGAAGTTAACCCTTTAACCTACGACAACGTGGCAGACTCGTGGCCAGAGATTCTAGTCGAGATATGGCAAAAATAGTTACGTTAGTAAGAGAAATGAATTGTAATCCTAACTTTCGTTTCAGTTTGTAAAATTGGGGATTCCTAAATGTAATTAACCTGTAACAGATTAGCTTTCGCTACTTGATACAGTACCGAAATGTAAAATGGCTGACGCTTAGATGCACAGTCGGGAAAGAAATCATACGTTAAGGGGCTAATGGAAAAAAGTGAGAAATAATGACTTTTTTTTGAGAATTTTGAATTGGCTATTATACGAAATATTTTTTATGCTTCTAAAATGACTGTTGTTAATAATAAACGTGACAGAATGAAGGCACGTAAAATATTCTCTCGTAGAGTACTAAATAAATGATTTTCCAATTTTCCTGGGATATCATATTTCCGAGAAAATCTGGATCATGTACCACGCGAAATATTCTCTGGCAGTATAATCAAATAAACGAGTAGCTTCCACAGGATTTGATATTTTTCGAAAAATTCTGAGGTAGATACTACGCGAGATATTCTTTCCTATTATTTTATACAATAAACAAACGTATTTACTCGTAAGAATCTTAGCTTAGATGTCACATGAAATACTCTCTCTTACTGTAATAAAATAAATAACTACATGTTTCAAGATGTAAGTATAACGATGCACCTATACTGCAACGAAACTCTTGCAACATAAAGAACAAACAGTCGGTCTCTCCCTGAAAAAAAAAGAAAGAAAAAGAATCATCTCCCCGAAAAAATCTCCCGTATCGAATTTACTCAACCATCGAATATATTCGAAATTTCGCGATGTGTGTTTCGCTAGCCAATGGTTCGAATCGAGTTTACAAACCCCAACAGCAAACAGTCCCGCTCATTTTCCACAGTATTTTCTCCGCAATACTAGCCGTGACGGATTCCTATAGAATTTCACGTGTCGAATCAATCTACGATTTAACTGAAAAAAAAAAAGAGAAAAGAAAATTGGAAACTTGATCGGTGCAATGTACACATATACGTATACAGGGTGTCTCAGAACTAATGATACAATCTCTAATTAATCTACACGAGAAAATAAGTCGAAGGATCTATGATACGCGAAAAATTAAGTCGAAAATGTGGAATAACAGAATTTTCAACGTCGATTTGTTCCTATGAGAAATATATCAATCTACATTTTCGACTGATTTTCTCACATGGTATCAAAAATATGTTAATCTACATTTTCCACTGATTTTCTCATATGGTATCAAAAATATGTTAATCTACATTTTCGACTGATTTTCTCACATGGTATCAAAAATAGGTTAATCTACATTTCCGACTGATTTTCTCACATGGTATGAAAAATATATTAATCTACATTTTCGACTGATTTTCTCACATGGTATAAAAAATATATTAATCTACATTTCCGACTGATTTTCTCACATGATATCAAAAATTCAAAGGCACCCAGTGTATAGAGAATTCCTGTGAAATTTTTATTCCCGTCGCTTATTATCGAGGAAAAATAAATAACACGACGGAGAAGCTTCGTTGATCTCGGTGTATCGAAACGGAAGGATTTTTTTTTTTTACTTATATATTTCCGCGCAGGCACACCGACAATTACGGTCGAGGGAAGCGGTCTCGACATGGACAGCATCTCCATGGTATCCTCCATTGCACCATCCCACATATACCAGTGTAAGTGTCCAAACATACAATCGTTGATCGTCGTCTCCTTTTCCGTATATCTTCATCGTCGTCCACTTCTCTTTCTTTTTTTTTATTTTTATTTATTTACTTCTCTATTTTTCTTTCTCTTTCCTCCAGAAAATTCCTCTCTCTCTCTCTCTCTCTCTCTCTCTCTCTCTGCTTCTCTCTCACTGTGTGTGCGTGTGTGTTTCTCTTTCTAATACTTTTTCTATCCTATTTTACTTCTGTATACTCTTTATTTTCACTGTCTACACGGTTATTTGTTCGACTTCTGTTTTACCATCGAATGTGTATACTCTCTGTCTGCTTCTCGCTGAGATTCTTTTTACTCGTCAGAAAAGTTCAGGATAGGTATGAGAAAGTAAGACGAGAGGGAGATTTAATTTTTCATCAAAAGAAATTCGAAAGAAAAAATTTTTTCAATTT